GAGTTGTCCCCTGGCATAGCACCTAGAACATATATAGCTTGACAAATACTTGTTGCATAGACAGACTGGCATTTTAGCTTCTGGAGTATACATGTGAGATACGGGCTAAAAATATGAATTTGAAAGTTATCTGCATTTAAATAGTATTTAAAAACAAGAGAAAGGATGAAATTACCCATCCCAGGAGAGATAGGGGTGGGGGGAGCTTTGGAGATCAACATTTCTTTGGTACAAAGCAAGATGATGACAAAGGATACCCAAAAAAATGAATGGCTAGAGAGGTAAAAAGAAACCCAGGAGAATATGCTGCCAAGACAATCAGGAAAAGAAGCTCTCTTAAGACAGTGGGACAGATCAGTTGTGACAAATACTGCTAAGAAGTAAATTAAGATCAGGATAGAAATGTTACCATTGAGTTGGGGAGCTTCAAGGTCATCTTGGACTTCCCTGTCGGTCCAGGGGCTAGGACTCTGAGCCTGCAATGCAGGGGGCCTGGGTTCAACCCCTGGTCAAGGAACTAGATTGCATATGCCACAAGGAAAAGCTAGCTTAAAATTCAACATTCAAAAAGCTAAGATTATGGCATCCAGTCCCATCACTGGATGCAGAAATAGATACAGAAATAGATGCAGAAAAATAGATGCAGAAAAAGTGGAAACTGGTGGATTTTATTTTCTTAAGCTCCAAAACCACTGCAGATGGTGACTGCAGCCACAAAATTAAACGATGCTTGCTCTTTGGGAGAAAAGCTACTAATACAACCTAGACAGCATACTAAAAAGCAGAGACATCACTTTGCTGACAAAGGTCTGTACAGTCAAAGCTGTGGTTTTTACAGTACTCCCATATGGATGTAAGAGTTGGACCATAAAGAAAGCTGAGTGCTGAATAATGAGCTGCGATGCTGGAGACGACTCTTGAGAGTCCCTTGGACAGCAAGGAGATGAAACCAGTCCATCCTAAAGGAAACCAACCTTGAATATTCACTGGAAGGACTGGTGCTGAAACTGAAGCTCCAATACGCCACCTGATGCGAAGAGCCGACTCACTGGAAAAGACCCTGATGTTAGGCAAGATTGAGGGCAGGAGGAGAAGGGGGTGACAGAGGATGAGCTGGTTGGATGGCATCAACAACTCAGTGGACATGAGTTTGAGCAAACTCCAGGAGATGGTGAAGACAGGGAAGTCTGGTGCATGGGGTCACAAAGAGTCAGACACAACTTAATGACAATTAAGGTTATTTCTGATGTTGGTAAGAGTGATTTGGGGTGGGAAGTGGGGGTGACAGGTTAGAGTGGGCTGGGAAAGGAGGTGAGCAACTGCAATTAGCTGGTGTAGAACACTTTTTCAAGAAGTTTTGCTTGTAAGAGAATAAACAAAAAAAAGTTGGAGAGGAATGAGGTATCTGTGGAACTTGTTTTGTGTGAATTTTTTTCTTTCTGTGGAACTTACTAGAATATGTTTGTATGGTGATGGGACATTCAATAGACAGAGTAATTATTAATAAAGGGAAAGAATATTAAGGACGATCCCTCAGTAGTTTCTTTTTCCTTTTTTGACTGCACGGGGAATTTCCCCCAACCAAGGACTGAACTATCACCGTCTACACTGGAAACATAGAGCCTTAACCACTGGACCACCAGGGAAGTCACAGTAGGTTTCTGATAAGGAATCAGTGCTGCTTTTCTGTAGCTTTCTTTGACCTACCCCTATGAACCAAGTTTAAGAGATAAACAAAAAGTAGTTATCAGGACTTCATAATGCAGCTCTGGAGGGTTGTCAACCACTCTGAAAAGATCTTCAAGAAATTGCATCTTCTCAGCTTCCCTGGAGCTGGGAATTAGTTCCAGGGTTTCTCAAACTTGGGTGCTATTGGTATTTTGGTTCACATACTCTCCTCTTAGGGGGAGGGGGCTGAATCTCCTGTGCAGGGTTGAATGTTTCACAGAAACCCTGGCCTTCACCCACATGGGTACCAGTAGTATCTAGTTGATACTAGATACTCAGATACTGTGATACTCAGAAACTGGAAATTTTAAGTCTTTGTGTGAGGGTTGGGGAGCAGATTGCTGCAGTTGAGAATCAATGACTTATTCAAACCTGAAGATGACGGTCGCTCAGTCGTGTCTGACTCTTTTTGACCCCGTGGGCTCCACAGTCCATGTGATTCTCCAGATCAGAATACTGACCTTGTCCTTCTCCAGGGGGTCTACCCAACTCAGGGAATTGAACCCAGGTCTCCTACATTGCAGGTGGATTCTTTACCAACTGAGCTATCAGAGAAGTCCTATTCAAACCTAAGAAAGCCTAACTAAAAAAAAAATCAGCTGATCTTAACAGCTGTTTTCATTGCCTTATGCTCTTATGGAAAATAAACTTGGTATGAAAGCATACTGTTCTATATATACATGTTCTAATTTTTTAATTCCTAAAGAAATACTGTAATATAATTTTTAATACTTTCAGTAGAAAGAACAATAAAAGAAAACCAAACCAAATATACACATGGATGAATCACACTTAGGGATGATGGCAAGAAAAGGAAAGTCAGTAAGATTTATTTGGTGCCCCCTACATTTCACATTGAGATTCCCCAGTGGCTCAATGGTAAAGAATCTAATTGTAATGCAGGCGACTCGGGAGATTTGGGTTCAATCCCTGAATGGGGAAGATCCCTTTGAGGAGGAAATGACAACCCACTCCAGTATTCTTGCCTGGGAAATCCCACGGACAGAGGAGCCTAGAGGGCTACAATCCAAGGGGTCACACAACAGTCAGATACAACTTAGCATCTAAACAACAACATTTTACATTTTGTAAGAGATTTAAAAAAATTTTTTTGGACAAGCTCATTGTATAAAAATGGAAAAAAGATATATTGACAAGAAAATTTAAAACTTCATGATATCATCAGTTACATTTTGGTACATATGCTTTAGGACTTTCTGTGCATTCATTCATTCTCTTACTCATTAACTTATTACACATCTGGGGCTTCCCAGGTGGCGCTAATGGTAAAGAATCCCCGTGTCAATGCAGGGTAGGAAAGAGGCATGGTTCCATCCCTGGGTTGAGAAGATCCCCTGGAGAAGGAAATGGTAACCTGCTCCAGTATTCTTGCCTGGAGAATCCCATGGACAGCGGAACCTGGCAGGCTCCAGTCTATGGGGTCGCTGAGTCGGACACGACTGAAGCGATTTAGCACACATTACACATCTCCCTGAGAGAGGACAGGAACTGGCAAGTCAAGGGAGCTTTGTTTTTTTTTAATGGGAGACATTCAGGCATGTTTTAAAGGCAGTGAGAGGATCAAAGTCAGTCGAAAGAGGAAAATGAGATGATAGGTATAGTGAGGTTTCCGAGAAGGAATGGATTTCAAGCACAGAGTTGGAGTCATCTTTAGATTAGGGGAGGAAAAAAAACACTGTGAGAGGATTGAAAGAATACACACATATGCACACGTATGTATCTGACTGTATCTACAGGTATGCATATTCCTGTATCTACCTCTAAGTATGTATCTTGTATCTACAGGTAGGTATATATATATATTTTATCTATACGTATATATCTTTATCTACATGTTTTCACCATGTGAGCTACTGAGGAACTTGCTTTTTCACTTATTCTATTGTAACCATTTCCCCTCCTGCTGTTACGCTTCCTTACCATCATTTTTAACAGTATCCTAACACATGCAGTAGTTCAGTCTTTACAGCCACCTCGTAATGTTGGACATTTTCGCCGTCACAATTTTTCACTACCATCAACACCGGACTTAGTATTACGATGGTGACATATTTGTAGCTACCCAGGATTATTTTTTGAACAGAAATTCACGCAAGAGGAATTGCTGAGTCAAATGGTCAGCCTAACTCGAGGGATAAAAGTCGCTTTTAAACGTCAGTCATCCTCGGGTATGCAATCTTTACCTGAGGAGGAAACAGAGAAGCAGAGAGGTTAAATAATTGGCCCAAGGTCAAAAATAATTGCAAGTGGCGGATTTAAAAAGCCGCTCGGGCTCATCATGGTGCGGCAGGGATAGAATTTGCGGTTTAGGCGATTTTTTTTTTTTTTTTTTTTGGTGTGTTTCTGTGGGGGAGGGGCCGGGCAGTAGGGAAGGAAACTTGTGTCGCAGCAAAGAAGGAGGAGGAGGAGAACGGGAGGGAACTCATGTCAGAATCCGAGCCGACTGCGCCGAGAAACGGTACGCTCGGGATTCGGTGGGCCCCCAAGCCGCTGTGCGGGGCACCTCCGAGGCTGTGTCCGGCTCCAGGAAGGTCCGGCCCGCGGCCGCGCCGCGCCGGGGCGGTTGCCAAGGGTCTGCCTAGTTTGCTGGTCTAGTTGCTAGGGCCTCCATCTTGAGGCCGGTGGCTGCGACACCCCCGGAAGGGGTTGCCGAGTGGGGCATTCACTTCCGGTCTGGGGCCTGCGGCGGCGGCGGCGGCGGCGGCGGCGGTGGCGGCGACGGCGGCGGCGGCGGCGGCGGCAGCGGGTCGGTGTAGAAAATGGCGCTGGTGCAGCGGCTCGGGCCTCTCCCCGCGGCGCTACGGAGGGCTTGAGGCTCGCGAGCCTCACTCGCCGCGCCCCACTTGCTCGTGCACTTTACACACATGAGGTGAGCGGGGCGGGGGCCTCCCTTCGGGCGGGAGGAGCCTCGGGCGCTGCCGCAGGGCCCGCGATCGCGGGCGGCGGCGGCGGCGCCGGGCGTCCCCGAGACCTCGGGCCTCCGCGAAGGGGGCGCCGGCTGCGCCGCTGCGGAGGCCGGACGGGAGGCCCGGAGGGGCCGCGCTGTGCTGCTGGGGCCGGGCCGGGGGCTGCGGCTGGCCCGCGCCGCCAGACCGCAGTCGAGGCTGCAGCCCCGCAGCTTTGTGAGCCCCCCCGGGCTCCCTTCCCCCCGCCCCATCCGGCCCCGGAGCGAGCCTCTGCAGCGGCAGCTCCGTTTTCACGCGCATCTCTCTCTCTCTCTCTCTCCCCCCCCTTTTTCTTTTCCGTTTTAGAGAATTGGAAGCTAAAGCTACCAAAGACGTAGAAAGGAATCTTAGCAGGTAAGATGGGCGCGCTTTCCGCCTCTCACCCCATTTCATTAATCGTGTATTTCCACCCTGGCTCGCCCTTGCTGGGTTTAGAAGTTCTCCCGTGTCATTTTCTTCCGCACGCAGGGAGCAGACACGGAGAAGAGGCTGGAGGGAATACTGGATGGAGGAATTGCGGGGAGATGCGTAATTACGCGTGTTTTCCTTTCTTGGGCCGGGGCGGGGGGGTGGCAAAAAACAGCGAAAAGCAATTCTTGTAAACTTAGTTAAAGCATTCTCACCCATTTAGAATTTAATTAGGGGACTTGTGCATTAATTACTATTGTAAATGGTTGCAGGCATTGTGTGACTCATGATTGAGGCGGCCCTTATGGCGGGCTGTCAAACTGTTTTGGCTTCCCCGTTATTACTTTGTAACTCAAATTGTTGCCTTTATAAAAAGATACTATGTCTTCGCTTCCCCCACCGCCCCCCCCCCACCCCCCAACACATTGTAGTCAGGCGGATTCTGTTGCACTGGAAACAGTTTTGCCCTTGAACTTTACCGAGCATAGACTGTGTTTTGTTTTCTTTTGAAATACATTTATATCTACGTTCGGTGTGTGCTCCTTTTATCAGGTGGTAAAATAATTAAAAATCTGTTCCCAGTAAGTGGTTCTCACTCCTCTTGGACCTGAGTGCTGTTGCACTGGTAACTTAAATCATCACCACAAAGCGTTTTTTTTGTTTTGTTTTTTAAACGGTGCCCCTGTGAAAATGTCGAGCTTTATTGAGTTGTAATTGCTTAAGCATCAAGGCATTTAACTCTTTTTCACATTCATATTCTGGTCTTACTGTCTTTTCCTTTCTTTTTCGCCGTTTTCTTTTGCATCATATTAGGACACTGAGAGAAACTTCTAGATTAACCTATCAGTGAGCAGCTTTTACTTGAACGAAATAAAATAAAAATTGTCTGTCTCAGGTCTTAATGTAGTTTTTGCTTGGTGATTGTAAGTTTTGTGTTTGTATTGAGGTCTTAACAGTCACAATTCAAATCATCTGAATGTTTTTTCAGCATATAGAAGCATTTCAAATTGCTGGTCTTTGGGGTTATATAGATATTAATTTGTTAAACTGGTCATTAAAGAATCTGTTCATTCAGTGAAGGATGGTTGTCATTGGCTTAGCAAATAAGAGATATTCTGTTATTCAAAATAATTACAATCATTTAAAGGAAATTAAGCCTGACGTCGCTGACTAAACAACTGGATATTTCAGTTTTGTTGTTAAAAGCTATTAACATTAAGATATGAAACCATTAAATAAAACAGGTTGAGTTTTTAAGATACACTTGCAGAAAGGAGCTTGGAGTGTCAGTCTTTCTTTTTTTGCTTTGTCAGGTAACTATCAGTATAATTCCTGTGGAGGTTTTCTGGAACGTAATTAAAAATTGTCTCTACCACAGGTATAATTTCTGTATGCTATTACAGTTGGATAGAACTTGGAGTCTGTATCACCTGTGTATCGGAGTTTGAATCCCAGCTTTGTCACTTAACAATATGACCTTGACTCTAGGCAAATCACTTAGCCTCTCTTCCTAATCAGTAAAGCGAGAGGTTTGGGCCTGCCAGTTGCCAAGGTCTGTTAGGCCCCTTGGGTTTTATAAAAAGGAGTCAAGTGTTGTCCCTGGCCACAGACTCCATGTACATTATAGGAGGAAGGCTGTAATGGGCACATGAATAACTAACACCCGGTAAATGATGCAAGGGTCAAAAGAAGATACCGTTCCATTCATAGATTCAAAGATCTTCAGTTGGTTAGAAGGAATGAAAAGGAAAAATGAATATAAAGGATGTTACAGGCCAGTGTATACCAAGGTCCCAGTGCGAGGGGAACATTTCCTAAAGTTAAGTTTAAAAGTTTTCTGAAGAGGGAGAGAGAAGATTAGGTGGGCAAATGCTTCCTTTCAACCCCATCCTTAGCACTGTGCTTCTTTTTTCCAAATAAGGAGAGTATATTTGTCTTTACCCATTTGTGCCTCCCCAGGAAGGCATTATCCTATGTTGAGTTAGTAAACATTTCTTGCCCGTCTTATATTCCAAATGCAAGACTAGGCACTAGGGAAGGCAAGAATGGCAGTAGCTGAAGTTAGCGGATGTTTTCTGTCTGCCTGGCATACTTTGAAGATCTTACATCGACTCATCTGATCCTGAAACTCTGAGGTAGGTGCTTTCAGGATCTCCGTCTCTGTTTTACAGGTGAAGACTTTGATGCACAAAGAGGTTAAGTAACTTCCAGGAGCCCACACCACTGGTAACTGCAGGAGACGTTACGCTTTGGACCGTACTGTCTTGCCTCACAAGAGGCATGGTTGTTCACCTCCAAAAAAAGTGAAAGTATTTTTGGGGAGGCAGAGCCCACATATACAGGCAGCACTCCTAGATAAGAATTTCTCATCCTGGGCACTGCAGACCTTTTTTTTGGCTGTGCCACGAGGCATGTGGGATCCTAGTTCCCTGACCAGGGATCAGACCCATGCCGCCTGCACTGGAAGCTCGGAGTCTTAACCAGTAGACCCACTGTTGACATTTTGACCAGATCATTTGTTGTTGTGAAGTCTGCCCTGTGTATTATGGGATGTGCAGCAGCATCAGCCAGGAGTACTCACTCAGGTGTGACAAAAAACGTCTTAAGACATTGCCAGAGGTCCCCTTGGGTGAAATCACCCCCGCTGTTCTAGATCTTCATGTTTCCTGAGTATAACCAAACATTTGTATTTTTAACATTAAATCCGTAAGTGTTCAGTATCTTTTGTAATACCGTGGGACTCCAAATTCCCACTGTGTAGACCCCCTGTTTGGAAGCCCTTCCAGTCTGAATGAATGGCAGACGTTTTATTGCCATTCTCCGTTTCCTCTGCTCAGCTGCAAACCCTGGAGACGGTGTGCCAGGTAGCCAGGGCCAGTTAAATAAAATTGGCACAGTGGATAAGTTTGGTTGCCCGCATGAGGTCAACTCTCTTTTCTTAATTTACTGTCGGCCATTAAAATTGTCACTTTTTGTCAGTATCCTGGCATTCAAAAGACAGAACTGTAATGTCTAGATACGGGAGGTCACAACTGGAACTCAATTTTAAAGAATGGAATCCGTTTTAAAGGCAGAGAAACAGCAGTGTAGGAACAACAGCAGAAATAAAGGTACAAAACCCAGAAAGTATAGAGAATTGTGAAATAGTAAGTAGTTCAGTTGGATTGGCGTGTGAGGGTGGAGGCAGGGGGTAGAGTTTCTTGAATATCTGGTGGAGGATATTTTGCATAAATCTTACATTATGGGAAGCTACTATGAAGCTTTTAGGTCGGGTGGTGATAGGATAGAAAAATGATAACTAGTGATCTGGGCAAGAGATGAGGACGACCTGAATAAAGTGGTAGTAGAAAAGCAGGAGTATGATTACTCAAGATGTTGAATCTGGGGTTTGGCACCTACTTACTGGGATTAATTGGGAGAGGAGTCTTGGGACTTCCCTGGCCATCCAGTGGTTAGGAATCTGCCATCAAGTGCAGGAGACTTGGGATCAATCCCTGGTTGGGGAACTAAGAGCCTACATGCTTTGGGACGGCTAAGACCGTGGGCAGCAGCTATTGAGCCTTCGAGCTCTAGAACCTGTGCACCACAGCGAAGACCTGGTGCAGCTAAATTTTTTATTTATTTATTTTATTTTTTAATTAAATTATTTTTTAATTTAATTTTTAAAGAATTTAATTTAAAAAAATCCACTAAGTACACAGGGGTTTCCATTTTGGGTAAAGGGAAGATTGACCCAACCTCTGAACAAAGTAAGTGTGAGAACAGACATCAAGGTTTGGGGAAAAAAGATGATAAATTACAGTTTATGGTTGTAAAAAAAAAAAAAATCCCTTCTAATTCAGTGTATCTAACTTAAAAAATATACATGTGTGTGCATATATAAAGTACATTTATATATAAATTATGTAATATATATAAGTACATATATAAAGTAAATTTTATATATATATACACACATATAGGAAGCCAAAATGATAGATTGTGTATTTAGATCTAGACCATAACACCAGCCAATATTTGGATCCCTTCATTTTACAAGTGAGAAAGCTGTGGTCAAGGTTATAGTCTCTAACAAGTGACAAATCTGGGATTCAAACAGACCTTTTGACTCTAGCATACCTTCAGGCTAGGCAGTATTTTATATTGCACGATAGGAAAAAAGGTAACTTTGGTTTTTTCTTTCTTTCTGAAAATAGAATAATTACCTCAATAGACTATTTTGGGACCATTTTACTAATTTAATGTAGTATTGTCTGAAGTAGAAGTTACATGCTTTGTGGCATGCTGATTTTCTTTTTCCCCTAAAACCAACCATTAAATGCCATCACATGAGAGAAGTTGTTAAGGATGCTGCATACTGTATAATGTAGCATCTAAACTGGAACGTTTTTATCTGAGACACCTTTACCTGGGACGTGCTAACTAAGAAAAGACTAGAGAAAGCAGGTGTGAACTCCCTAGATAAGGTGCTCTTGGAATTCACCCAACTTTATTTGGGGAGAGAAGCTTCTGATGTTGTTCAGTGTTTGTGTTGCTTTCCTGCAATGTGCTTTGTAGGCCAGCAATTTCATATTGATAGGTTTCTTTCTAGCTTTATTTGGAAGCTGTATGGTACATCAGTTGGTAGAATAAATGAATTATAAAAGGTAAGCTTAATTTTAAAGTGTGTAACAACCCTCTATTGAAATTTTAAATATAAACATTAAGAAATCTGAGTACCATTCTGTAATCTCTTGTGAATTTTGGTGTCTGAAATAAATCTGTGAGTGTAAGTTACCATCCTTTACAGCTCCGTTTCATGACAATCACAAAAGTATTGTCCACAATTGGAAAGACTTAAATAAATATGGCTGTGTATATTCTGGTCAGGTTAACTTACAATTTCTCTCTCAAAATCAAGAAAATGTCCTTCCATTTAAAAAATTTTAAAAATCATCCTAATGTTA